AACAAAGAAGTTTAATAAACCAGGAAAATATATAAAGAAATTCGAAAACCACAACATTAACACCGAAGTTGCTATTCAAAAGTTTCCTTTTAAGCTTTTTTTTAATGAAACCCTCAAATAATAATTAACAAAAATCAATAAAAAATATCTGCAAATCATTGATATATATAACAAACCACCATAAATCCTGCCCAACCACAAAAATCAAAAGTTTAAACATTTTTAAACATTTTCTTACTATAATTTCATATTTAAACGCCACAAAAACCAAACTACAATTAAGAAACCATCTGGAATTGTGATAAAATCCCAAAACCACAATGGGAATCGTATAAAAAATCCGCATGTTATTAATGCAATTACTATCTTGTTTTCAGCTCCACCCCCTCTTTAAGAAGTTTTTCCCATCTGCTGGTGCATTTAGATCATCCTTTCACAACCCCACCCTTGACCTCCACGAACTTGCATGTCCATTTGGCATATCTTTTAATTAAAACAAAAGTTTGCTCTCAAACCTCAAAGATATTTGCAGCACGCATGACTTACAGTTTTTGACCATCAACCCGCAACCGCCTCCCCCTCTCTAAACTACGCCCCTTTTACGATGGGGAAGACCGCAATCTTCAGTCCAAATGTTGCATGCAAATGAAATGAAAAGAAGGCCAGAGAACTACTTCACCTAGTAAAGTCACAGAATACAGTACACACTCATTAAGTAGTCGGAAAACGTTATCCCATCCTCCAGACCCCCTAACCCGTCATAGCCCCCCCTTTTATTCGGAAACCCCAACCATGACCATTTTAAAGAGGGGCGTATGAAATTAATAGACTCTCCACAACACTCGCTTAATTATCACAAAGAGACCCAGACCAACCAGCAAAAACACTTTTCAAATGGGCAAGTGTTTTCCACCCCCTCTCTCTCTCTCTCTCTGTACCTCCTCCTCTTTGGATTTTCCCAGTTTTCCTGCGGTGCGTGTGTCTGCTTTATTAGATGATGATAACTGGCTAATGAGTTGAACTCTGCGGCAAGCCAAACAACGACATTGTAGGTACACGGTTGGAAAATTATTACCGATTTGTAACTGATTTTTTAATGATTTTATTTATTTAAATACAAATTTTTATTTGGCAACTAAAATTAAATAAATAAAACATGAGTTTCCTCTAAGAATATAAGAAATATTATAAAGGAAATAGCCAAAGTTTGTCAAGAAAAAATCCTGACAGAAAACGATTCTTATCTTTTTACTTCATTTTTAGGTGTAAAACTTTCTAGATTTAAAAAAAAACTATATAAGATCCATTAAATTTATTACAAATATTTAAAATTAATATTTTTCTCTGTGCATTTTCTTAGTTTGTGAGAGAGAATACGAGAAGTTTACCCAAAGAAGCACAACAACCACAGCCAGTGGAACCTTACTCAAAACTCTGAAAGCTGCTTGCTGCCCGCACATTTTCAACAAGATCTCTGATCTTGAGTTTTATGTCTCATCATGACATACTCTTTCCCATAAAGAGGGATATATACCAAGTCTAAGTGACTTGGTGCGTGCGGCTTATCTTGTACTAAGCTATGGTAGACATATGCACATTACATTTGGCTATGCTAATTGAAAGATAAAAAAAGGGTGGTTAAGTAGTGGGATTAAAGGCAGAAAAAGATTCTATGAGACGCAGTTAACTTATAGAAATGGAATTCTATGATTAACAATTAAAGGAATCTGTTTTTAGTTCATAATTTAATTATATTTTCACTATATTTATACGCCACTGTGTAATTACCTTTGTTTACATTTGAAATTCGGTTTGAATTATGTTTTTATTATATCTAATTTATAGGCATTGAGAGATTAATATGGTTATGTTTTATAAACGAGGGAATTATGAGATGCCTGCTGTGTTTATTAACTGATTTATGGCTTTAATTGTTTAATACTTTCAGCTGTCATTTTCAAGGAAAAATTTGTTTAAATATTTAATAAAATATTTGCTTATTTTGATTTCAAGTTTTCCATTTAATAAAGACTTACATCATAAGGACAATATTTAGTTTAGTTTAAAGTACTTTTAACTTGAAAATTAAACAAAGAAAGGCAGTAAAGTTTTCGGCCAGAGTATCTGCAACTTCGATGATCTCAACTCATAAACTTTAATGTTATTTTTTGGTGTTTTGTGTTTGAATGTTTTTTGGCGAAGGTGAGCTGTGCGCAAAAACAAAAAGAGGAGTATAAAAAAAAAACAAACAGAAGACGCAAAGCGAATAATTGGAAGAGCCCACGATTCTTCTAGCAGACCTTAGAGGCCAAGAAGACCCGAAAATGAAGAAAACGGTTAAAGATAACTGCGCTTTATTTGCGCCCACTTTTGGGTAAATATCTTTTTACATATATATTATATATCTACTGCGTTGGGGCATGACCGCATGCAAAACAAAGTCAGGTACGAATATTGAGATATTTCCACCTTTATACGACTGTCAATGGCAAATGCCTAGCGTATGGTTATTAATATATCTTAGCTTGTTTACCTATGAATTTGTCGGGTTAATCTACCCCCTCGAAAAGTGATCGAATTTTTGTTCTTAACATTGAATTTCCCATGAGACTGCTTCTTATCGTCCCAAGTAGAAGCACTATTAGTTATCAGCAAAGGGAAAACAGTGCGATAGAGCTAAGCAAATAGAAAATTTCTGTTCGATCGATAAGCGGAGAGCAACTGTTATTCTAACAGAACTGACTCATTCAATTTGGCAAATAACAAAAAAAAAATATAACACTATCTAATGTTCTGTGGGACAAAATAGATAAGCGTAGGTTATTTCTCTTTTCTTTTTCTTTTTCTATGAGCGGAAATTCCTAATTGCGCGCTGAATATTATGGACGCGACTGTGTCGATTAGCCCACAGGTAGCCAGTGGCAAGGAGTGCAAAAAAGGGGTTGCAAAAACCAGTAAGTCGGACTTGGACTTGTCAGCCTGCAGCTGCCAAGGTGGCAAGGACAAGGGGACGCAATATGTGACTCAACCAGAAGTTGACTCAACTACAGCTGGGAAATATTAAAGGTTGGGGGGTTAAGGAAATGCAGCCGAAAAATGGCGATCAAAAACCAAAAAAAAAAAAAGCAAAGACCTCTTTGAGGTTTTTATAAGTCATAAAGTGACGAAAATATTGTTCACAGAAAATGGGAATCTTTTAAAAACCTTCAATAAGTTAATCTTGTATTGCTTTCTTATTGGTTAAAAATCAAACATTCTTAACATTCAACTTTTAAATAACTTTTTCTTATCAGAAAACCACAAATTAGAAATGACTTTAACAGAAAACCTTATTAAATATTTTCACAATCTATAAAGAGATGATATCAAAAATATCAATGAAGAAAAATTACAAAGCCTTGACCTCAATCTTGAAAGCGTAACACCGCCCTGATAAGAAGCATTATAGAGCTGATTAAAAGCACATACTCGTGTACAATAAATGATCTCATCAACGAGACATATGTTTTAGTAAAAACATAATCTATCAAATAGTAAGTTCTAAAATAAATTTAATGCCAATGGAATGTTTTGGGAAGTTTGAAAAAATCAACATAGAAAAACAGTCTCAAAATTGTTGTCTATTATGACAATGTAAAAATATTTACTAAATCATCACTTTTAAGTTATGTGATGAATATAAAAACTGAATTGAAGAAATCTAATGAGTAATGAGTATTAATTTTTTCAAATTTAATGTACATATATATCCGTTTTCTTATAAGAAATACTTTTTAAAAACCCAATTTCCTATAAGAAAATTACAAAATTCCCACTATAAGAAGATCTACCATTTAAAAAATCAATTAATCTCAATTAAAAACTTACTTTTCATCGATATCAATCCTCTTCAGCTCCGACATATCCAGTTCCAGTCTCAAATTGGAGACCTCGCAAAGTAGGCGATCGCGTTCCAAGCTTAACTCCTTGATTTTGGCATGTAGGGCATTGTTCTCCCTGAGCAACTCGTCCACATTGTAGGGGATCGGATGATGATGATGATGCTGATGAGGTTGATGGTGGGGGGGCATTGTGATCGTGAGGGGCAGGGAAACGGGTCCTGGTACAGGTACACCTACACCAACACCCCCTGGATTCTCTACGAACATCATTGAACTGGCCATCAGAAGGGATTGTGTGGTCTGATGGAGCAGTAACTCCTGATCGCCATCTGAATTCTGTGAAAGATTCTTCAGATCGGCCTCCGACATTTTCTGCAACTTTTTTGTTTATAACTTTTAAGCGGTGATCGGTTGCACTATATTTATTTTGTTAAATATTTTTATGGCCAAAACATTATAGCCCAGCCACGCACACGCACTCGCGCGAATGAGGGGAGGTGAAGGAGGAGGTGATAAAGCGGTGGAAACAGGCAGGGCAACTTTGAATCTCACAATAAAGAACTGAAAATGCAGCTTGCTGCGAGCCAAAAACTTCACTTCGTATATAAGTAGAATGCCCTTGGATTCGTATTGGAATTCTGATTCTCCGTTCTTCGCTGGTCGTTTCGTCGCACTAATACATTTAATGATGAGCAACAATTGGATCGGAGAACTACGGATTCACGGAATTTACGGATTTTCAATTCACGCGCGACGAAATAACACGACGCGCTTCTCGGTCGACGTTTAGAAACAGTGTGCCTGTGCTGGGGGCGCCGCAATAAACTAGCAGTGTGGCCATAGTTCATTTCCACCGAAATATACCCATTGATACTCCTTAAAATATACCACCTCACATGTCTCTTATAAAATACCAAATTACCCGCTTCTTTTAAACTTTGCTTATAAAAAGAGATTGATTTACTTACAATAATTAATTGTTGTATTAAATATGTTTAAGAATATATTATATATCTTAAACAAATCTATTTCACTGTATTCAAATCTAATAAACTTTATGAAATAATAATATATCATATTGAAATGTAAGCTCTTTCTAAAAACTGGGTGACAGATTTGAAATAAGTTTTTCCCATTCCTGGTTGATCTAGTTCACTTCTTCATAAGAATAAGCAAGAATGGATGGCCAGAATTTATCAACAATTATAATTACAGGACCACCAGGTGTTATTATTATCATGAAAACATACATGTATTATTTTTAACTTATAATTCCGATTTCGCCTTCTAGGAGTGGGCAAAACCACGTTGGTCCGCAAGATCATCGCGAGTCTGTTGATAGCAAAACCATCTCTTCAAGGATTCTACACGGAAGAAATCCGTGATAGCGTATTGCGCCAACGAATAGGATTCGATGTGGTTTCATTGTCAGGTGAACGAGGAACCCTGGCTCGCGAAGCCCCGAAGGACAACCTTAGACGCCCCAAAGTGGGAAAGTATTCAGTGTTTGTCCAGGAATTTGAGAATATAGCATTGCCACTGCTGGATGTTAAAGTATCCCTTCAAGAACCACATCTCTTAGTAATTGATGAAGTGGGAAAAATGGAACTCTTAAGCAAGGGTTTTGAGATTGGAATGACTTCTGTTCTTAAAAACAAACAGCCAATGTTGGTGACAATACCCGAAAAATCGAACTTGCCTTTAGTGGAACAGCTAAGAAAGACTCCCGGATCGCGTATCTACCAGGTGACCAAATCCAACAGGAACACTTTGGCTGATGAAATCACCAATTTAATTACAAATTCATTACTTGTAATAAAATAAACTTGTTGGTCTTTTTATTAGTGCCTAAATGTATAAGACTTGTGCTCCCTTTCCTCCACCCATGGGAGGTCATCATCCGATGCTACGCGTCCATTGAGACAATTGATGTAGGATTCATTGCAGGAGGCGGCATGGATGACGACAGGGATTCGCTCTTCCTCGTGGATCGTTTGCGTACACGTTTCGTTTCCCTTGCCCAGTCCATTTCGTTATAGTGTTGCTCGGATGCAGTCCAATGGTACTCCTGCAAACTAACCAACTCCGGATACTTTTGTTCAAACTCCTTATCCGGCGGTAGCAGTAGCTCCCATCGTTTTGTCGTATTCACCCTAGCCACAGTCTTCAAAACGTCTAGAGTTTCCGCGGGTGGTAATTGAGTGGCTGCCATTACTTGGGCTCGGAACAGGTAGGGCGTGCGGGAGAATCGGAAGAGCTAGAAAAAGAATTTGCATTATTAGTTGGTGATAAGTAATGACACCTCTAATTCAAAGTCTTACTATATAATCCCTTGCGCGAATCATTTGATCTGCGGACACGCCGTTGGCATGGGAGAGCATCTTCTCGGAAAAGACCACCTCTGATCGTGGTACCCAGTTGCCGTGCAATAATATGCCCACCTGGGGCAGCAAAGCCAGCACCTTATCGGCTGCCACCTTTGTATCCACATGTTCCGTGAGTATGGTAATCACATCGGCAAAAGAAAGCATTCGGGCATCCCTAAGAAGCACTGTCAGCTGTTCCAGCAGCGGCATACTCTTAAGCATGGCCTTGTTGTAGACAGGAAGAACTTGGGTGGCAGCTGTGGCAGCGCTTGGGGTTGCTACCCTCTGCACATGCTCATCGTAGGGCAACAGCTTACGCAAATAATCTCCAGCACCCAGAGCCAAAGACTGACTGCCTTGATGACTGGTGGCAAAGAGTTTCTGGCGTTCCAGTTCCGCGGTGGGCGTACCCCTTGAGTGCCAGTAAGCCTCGCACCAGGGTTCATCCGCAATCCGTTGGACGAAGCCATCATAGGTACCAGCGCGATGCTCTTTACCACTGTTTTTGGCATTACCACGAGCAAACTTCACCGTCACCTGTTGCAGAACTTCGTCATCGTCGGTATCCTCCGTTTGGGCTTTCTGTTCCGCTTTCTTGCGCTTGTCATCCTTATCGAAATGGCTGAGAGCAGGGCGCATTTGGACTATGGAAGTGAGTGGTGATAGATGAACCTCTCGATCCGTAAAAATGCCCACTATATACTTGGTCACATCGGTTATGGACCGCGAGCTGGTAAATGCCTGTTTGTCCATTATGCCACGCTTATATGTGGGTCGCTCCTGACCCTTTGCTGGTGTCGCTCCATAAGTGTTTTTCCCATCGGCGGCCACCGCAAATTGTTCTCCCTTAAAGCGATCAAAGTGCGCGGACTCAATGTCCAGGCCGAAATCCACTTTCACCTCCTGGGCGAATGGTTTTACACAGCAATTAACAATCACAGAGTCATCGTGGTTCGGGAGCTCAGTTTTCGTTGGATATTGAAACAGGTACAAGCTGTCCTGCAAGTTCTTCGACAGGAATACGGGTATCTGGCAGGGATTGACGGTGGGCGTTAGAGGTAGAACTTACAGAGTCAGTCCCATACTTACCTCCTCTACAACGGGATCGTCCTCGTCGTCCATAATTTTTTAAAATTCGGAACGTTTTGTCTGCCTTACGGTGCACGCCTCAGTATCCAGTGTGTAAAGTACGTAACATTTCGGCGTTTACCAACACTGACACTATGGGATAGAAAAGATTAAATTTTCTTATTTCAACATATGATTTGCTAAAATTAAATATCTGTTAAATGAAATAATAAAAATAAATCAATACAAATGTTTAATGATTTAAGATGTATTAAGAAATATCTTGACCTTCTTATTCTTAAATTAAGTTGTTAATAATGGGCTAACTGCCTATGATATACCATATATACCATATAAAGTCTCTAAAAAAAAATAAATTGTATTTAAAACTATCTTAAATATCCTTCAACTTGAATGTTATCTGCTGACTTTGCTGAATATACTCATTTTAAACGATAAAAAGTAAAACCTTTTCAACCAATCCGACCCACTGTGCAAAGACAAAGTTCAAAATCAATTTTCCCTAAACCGATTGGCGATACCGATTTTGTAATCGTCCACGACGCCCGGGGAAAATGTCTCGTCCGACCGCAACATTAAACATATATATTCTATATGCTCTTGGCCCGATGCATACATAACCCGATCATGTTCACGGTCACGTCGGAGATCTACGGCGAGAACAATTACCAGACGACCCGCGATGACGGTAAAGTGGTGTCAAAATTCCGTTTTATCTATCCGGAGGAGACGAGGCTGGCCAGGATTACGACGGATAAAGATGGTGACCTTGAGGTGCCAAGGCCACGACGCGGTGTGATCGAATTGGAACATTCCGAGGCAACGGAACTGCGTTTGGTGGGTTTGCAAGTGTGGCGTGGAGCCCTCCTCCTCGCAGATTACCTATTCTCCAAGAAAGATGAGTTCTCTGGGAAAACCTTGATGGAACTGGGTGCTGGTGTGGGACTAACAAGTATTGCAGCTGGGATACACAATACCGGAAAGATCTATTGCACGGATGTCGATCTGGGTTGCATACTAAAGCTGATCCGCGGCAATGTGGAAAGGAATTCCAAACTTCTGAGTGGTAAAATCTCAGTTCTGGAGTTTGATTTCCTCGCACCAAAAGAGTCACAATCACAGGAGCTCCTGGAGGCCATAGACAACAGCGATATTGTCTTAGCTGCCGATGTCATCTATTGTGATACCCTAACCGATGCCTTTGTCTCTGTGGTGGACAATCTCCTAGATCGTGGACGCCAAACTGGGAGACCCAAAACGATATATATGGCACTTGAGAAACGATATGTGTTCACCCTGGAGGATTGTGATTCTGTGGCTCCCATGTACGAATACCTCATCCGGCAGACGATCAATAAGCCCTGGAATATGGAGCACCTGCCGCTGGATTTCCCTCAGTATTTCGAGTACGATCGCTGCAAGCAACTGGTACTGATCAAGATAACCAGTCGTTAGAGAATTTTAAAGACAAAAAAGACGTTCCGCTTTTTAGATTCAATTAAAACCTTAATCTACCTTACTAATTTACAGAAATTATGGCTTTGTTATGTAAGGTTGAGATATTTTTTGAATTAAACTAATAACTTCTGAAATTATGATTTTATGTTTTTCATTTGATTTCAAACAACGTTAGGTTTTAAATTATAATAGTTTTATTTATTGCTTGGTTGTCTTTCAAATAATTTATAAATTTTCCCATTATAAGTGTTCTTTAATTGCACAAATATTTGTATATAAACAAATCAATAGATATAAGAACTATGGACCAGTGCTGGGTTTATAAAAACTTTTTAGTAATGACAATTTTTGTACTTGCACAATGTTTTTTGTAAATATACAAAAGTAAGTACAAAAACCTTGACTTTAATTGCATGATTTAATAACTCTCATCTAAGATTAGTCAACAATGCCTGCTGTAATGAAGAATGACCCAATGGAATAAATACATAACTAAACTAAGCCCTTAACCCGTGAAGAATCTTTAGCGATTGTTTGGGATCAAAGATCCTGCATCGCGAGTATGATGTTCTCCAGAGCCTGTCGAGCATCGGTTGCCGGGAAATGTTGAAGAACAGCCAAAGCAGCTGCCGTGTGTTTCCTCTGCAACTCCTTGGTTTTGATTAACGCTGGACCTGCTAGGATTGCTTTGTGAATCTTGTCGTAGTCGATGTTATCCACTGACTGTTTGCCAGCCTCCAGTTGGGCATACATTCCAGGATCATGCTCCAAATGGAAAAGAACTGGAGCACTAACCAGACTAAAAGTAACATCCAGAGGAAGCTGGGGACACTGGAAGGGTTCGGCATCCAAGCAAGCCTGCCAAGCCAGAGCCAAATGTTTGCCAAAGCGATACGCATGTCGCTGCAGTTCCTCACTCTGTCCAGCCAGTTTCAGCGATGCTTGGCAGGATTTTCCCAGCAGACTGCCTGCATTCAGTATGTTACGGCACTCCCATTCCTCCTCTGGATTTCCAAGAACCTGAGCAATGGGCATTGGGGTCATCACATCGTGCTCGTTGAAATCCACTCCAACACTGAGAGATGGTCGCTGGAAGGTTCCTGGCTTATAAGGCAAAGGGTTGTTCTGTTCATCACGCTCTCCTATAAATTCCGATTCGGAGAAGTCACGCACAGCCGATGAAATCAGCTCCACCACTTCCTGGTTTCGCAGATTTGCCAACTCCGCACTGGAATGACCTAAAAGGTAGTCTCCGGTGAGTAGGCCAATCTTGTTGCCAAAAGACATGTCGTCATAGGTGGCCACATCCTGCCCAGCCTGAGTGCTCGATTGTAAGTTAACCACGCTCTAAAACAAGATAAAGAAGAATTTTAATTATTTACATTAATCCCTATTTCTTTGGCAGCCTGAAAGTTGTAAATATGGTTAGAATGACTATCTTCTACTGCCAACAGCTTTTATCTCATCTAACAGAAAACTCAGCTACCTTTGAGCAGCGATGACAACTTTATGATAATTTGGACTGTTCCGTAAAATAAATTTGTGGAAAGTTATAGCCTGTCTTGCATAGCTGTGAAACTAATTTGCATAATAAGACTAGCTAATACCTTGAGATCAACACCAACAGAAAGATAATAATTTTGGAAACCACTTCCGAAAGGTTTTTTGGTAAGATTATGATTTACTTTCGAATAAAGCTTTCTATCAAATATCCAACTTACATTGTGCACCAAATGTGAGATCCTAATCATCTCGGTGACCTCAGCCAGAGCTCTTTGTGAATGAAGTACACCGGCACTCTTGTCCTGCTCGACATCTGGAACACTTGGAGCATGTCCTGCGGCCTTAGATACCAATAGCACTATCAATCCCCAAGCTTGCATTGTGTTTTTGCCATTGTAGAGTAGGTGCCTAAAAAGAGTTTCCAATTAATAGAATTCCAAGCTTAGGATAATTATTCAAATTTGATTAACTTTAGGATAACTCACTTTGCTGTCTTCATAAGCGGATGAGCACTGCCCACTAGTTTGCGCAAGTGCAGCGCCACATTGGCAATCTCATCACTGAGCAGCCAGCGTAGGCTTAGAAAGGATGTGGGATAGCCGACAATACGTTCCGCCTCGCTTACTGCTCTGTTCCAGTCGTGTCGCGGGGGCGGGGTCGTAACCTGTGGACTTGAATGCTTTCCACTGGCCGTCGACGTTGACGTCCAGCGATGTTGCTGCTGCTGTTGGCAAGTGAAAGTTTGCAGCGCAGGCGCAACTTTGGAATTTTGGAATCCGCGCGAGTCCAAGGGAATCCTTAGCCGCAACTGTTGCATAATCCTTAAACCACTGGCGCGGTACATGGTAATCTTCTATTTTTTTCGCCTACAAAACCACAATTATTTACAATTGTTTGTGAGAAGATCGCGTTTTTTAGCTCCGCTCCGTTGAATAGCTCGTCGAAAAGTGAAATCTTCGAGGTCCGCCGCTGCTTGCGTCGCTGCCAACGTCTCTGTCAGCGTCACCTGCTGCAGCTCTTCTTCTTCGCGGGCGGCCCACTTTTACAGTTGGTCGCTTCGCTCTCAGGTGGCCGCCAAGCGTTCTGTTTGTTTTTATTGCCCCACGCAGTGTCATGGAATTTCGGAGGAGGGGTAATTTGGTTTTGCAGGGGGTGGTACTGCGGCGGTCTTAAGCGAGAACAGGTTTTCGCACGGCAGCGCCGCTTGGTCGCACAGTTTTTGGCCATGAGCAGTGCATACACGGTCATACTTAGTGATGGCATGGAATGCACTTGCGCGCTAGAGATGACACCATGTACCAACAGTTTCCAATAGTTATTTAATTGGAAGTCTGTCATCCATCACCCATTCACAATGTCCGTCCTATTTGTCCAATAAAAATATATATTAATACCATTCACCACAGAATCATAAAACTACAAATGATTAAAATGCTAAAAATCAATTTTATATATCAGATGCCAAAAAATACATTTGTATTATTGATAATGACTGGTTAGAATAATAATAAAAATCATATATGAGTTTAACCAATCTTAACCAAAACGAAAACTTTTTGAAAAGTTTGCACACTTATATTTTTAATTATTTTCTCTACATTCGATATTTGTAAATTCAGCTTAGCAGATCAATGGTATTATTTAGTGTTTTTGTACTAACTCGAACATTTTCAGTAGGTTTTTATCTGGCAACACTGGCTCTGCCGCCGACGGCAAGTTTTCCCTGATATTTGTTGCGAATTGTTATAAAAATCGATCGCAGATTTTTCCGTACGTGAATTCGAAAGAGAAAGTGGTACAAAATGTAGATAACCACCGAAATCTAGATCGGCGAATGGAAAAACATCGATAATGATAATAAAAACGTAAAAAAATGATTGAAAAATGCAAATGCAAAAGCGAATGCCCGAGATGTGAGAGGGTATGCGAGTGTTGAGTGTGTGTTTGTGTGAAAGAAGAGCTGCAACAAATTAAATATAAATAATAGTCTCCAAGTACCGTTGTTTGACAAATAATTGTGTCGTAAAATGATTAAATGGCATTTAAGCCGAGTTTAAACATTTGCAGCGGAAATGTTTAATAGTTTTTAATTGCTCTAGCGGTCGCTGCCCCGGCGCTATACATATATGTGTGTTATTGCGTGTGTGTAAGAGAAAGAAAGAGGATGGGAAGGAGAGTGTAAGAAAGGGGAATATGCAACAACTGTGCGATTTTAGTTATCGATGGCATTTTTTCGGCTATTTCGAGTGTCCGAAAGTCAAAATCAGAAAATCTGATGTGTACACACACATTACTGCCCAGAAACAGAGAAAACGGGGCGAAAGGAAAACTACGAAAGTGGTTGCTCTGCCATGTAGGTGTAGGTTTGTTTCATTGTGTGCGTGAGAGGAATGCTGCCTATCTATGTATCGCGTTTCGCACACTGTATTTGCATAGGTGTGAGTGTGCTTGTGTGTGCAGTGTTGTATAGTGCATAAATTATGGAATTTCGGATTTATTTCGAGTTTCGTTTTAGTTTCAGATTTTTCCCTTAACTTAATCGATCTATGTACTCTCTCTCTGTCTCTCGTTCAAAAAGGTTGCATCCCCAAGAGATGCACAAAGAGAGGGCGAGATAAACAGACGCCGCCGCCACTAACGTACACACACACCAATGCAAATGCAGTTAGCTGGTAAAACTTGTTTTCTCTCTCTCTCTCTGCAAAAAGAGCAAAAGCCGCTATTCGAATTTGGCCGCCACTGCCGCTACTCGCAAACGCTCTCTTTCTCTCTCTACTGCTCTCTCGCTACTCGCCGCTGCTACAACTACGAACATACACTGACTATATACCATATATATGGCCGATTCAAAGCTAGGCGAGCAAAATTTCCATTGTGTGTGGCGACCAGCGTTCGCAGTCGGTTCGAAAATTTCTGACTCGTCATTCGTGCGCAAAAAACACCAAATACAAGCCTGAGTAATAGATTAAATATAAATAAATATTTTAAAATACTGTTATTTTCGAAAAAAAATAAATAATCACTTGCTCTAGAGTTTTTTGTGCTGTGTGCGCGCTAGTGTATGTGTGTTGGTGTTTCCCTATTACTCATCTCTTTTATTTGCGCTCTAAAAAATTAAATATTCGTTTTGGTAAAAAAAAAAAACATAAATTGTAGCTTGGTTCAAATTCGAATACAGCCGAAAAACTGTTACCTATTTTACTTTTTGTCTACATCAACGATTAACGAAAAATTCAACGACTTTCATCGTCGTTTGTGTGTTTCTAGAAGTAAATGTGTGTGTACGTATGTGTGTGTGTATCTCGCTGCCTTCGGATGAAAAAAGTCAATTTCTGAGTCGCTCACTCCCCCGCTCTCTCTTGCATGAATGAAACAGCGAATGAACGAACCCTTGTAATTGTGATGCATGCGTGTGAGAGTGAGTGTAGCAACAAATAAGCAAAGAAAAAACAATAAGAAAAGTAACTTACAAATGCAGTTATTTCGAAATTGAAAACGAATAAGAATTCAACGCGAAAGTGCGAGCAAAGCCTAATAGTTTTTATATTCCAGCTATAACCAACAACAACCACAGCAACATGCATAATTCTACAGTATGTGTGTTTCATTGCCAAAGCAACGTTTACGTTTAAATACTCTCGCCAGAGAGCAAATAAATACAAAATACACATAAATAAATAAATCAAATCAAAACCAAACATCAAATAGCAAATTACAAACAAAATTTAACCACACAACAGCAGTAACAACAACAAAATATCGAAAGCAAAGAAACGAGACGAAAGAGAGTTCTTCAATATTTGTGTATCCGTGTGTGTCGTCTCTCTCCCGCGCGAGTGTGTGTTTGTGTGCCCGTGCCTATATATTTGCGTGCGTTTGTGTGGCTGTGTGCGTGCAGCAGAATCAATAATAAAAAATAAAAATCCAAAAAAAAAAATTAAAGCAAGCAAATGTGCAAAATACTAGAGAATATCCAAATCAGCAACAAATAACAACAGCAACGGATAAATAACAATAATAGCAATACACTATAAACAACAACGTTGAGAAAATGAGGTGCTGCTGCTGTGCGAAGAAAACAAGCCAAGAACTATGACGCATCAAAATCATCAGACAAACGGCGCAAGTTTGGAGGATTGCCACACAAACTTTTATGCCTTGGTGAGTATTGTATTGTTGTCTTTATTTTTGCAATTTTTTTTTCTTTTTGAATTCGGGGTTTTTATTCTTTTATTTTTTGAGACTAGAAGATCTAGGTCAGTGAGGATTGAGAAGGTGGTTTTCCAAGGGTGTTGAGGGGGGCTTATTGGCTTGCGGGGGTGTGTCACCCACACCGAAGCATACACATTAAACCACCGATCATGGGATCCCTCTCTCGCCTACCATCTTCATCGCTCTCTCTCTCTCTCTTATCGATTGGCAACCGAAATGAAGACGCCGGCGGTATGACCACAGCTGTTTATCGTTATCGCTGCAGATGCTTCGCAAATAAACCGTAAAAAGGTTTAGATAACTATAGTTACGCAGAACTATAAAAAACATTGCAAATACGATTTTTAATCTGAAGCTGGAAGATTTAAAATCTTTTATTGTTTACTTATTAGGTGATTCTTAACAGTTTATTTATTTACAACGAAGTCTCATGAGTCGTTGTTTCGAAAAGCACATCCCATATTAAATGAAAAATACTTTCTTATCCCCAGAAGCCTGTAGTAAATAATTTCCTATTTCCTGGTATTCACTGTAGCTGTAAAAACAGTTGTCTTTGCGGCAGCTTATAGCGACTGTTGCTCTGTGACTTTGTGGGCTGTTTTGTGACTGCGGCTCGGTGACTTTGTGGCCCATAACAGGTTCTCCTTCTCCCCGAGACTCAAAAAGTCGAGACTGGATAAAAAAAAAAGCTGAACACTGAAAACTCGGGGACTACCGACTAGTTTGTTGGCCCCGCTAGTTAGTGATTGTTGCTGCTATTGTCTCTTCTCTTTGGCATATTTCTTTAATGAATCTCGCGGAGGACAGAGTAGATAGAAGAAATGAGGAGCCGAAAAAAAAACGGAAAGCAATAGTCAAAGAAGAAGCGATGACGACGACAGTGCGTACAAGTCAACGTGCTCCATTTCCCCCGAACTCTTTATCCCTCTGGTCTGTCCTCTCGTTTTGCTTACAACTCTCTTGGAGAGTTTGGAGCACCAAAGAGGTAGACGAGGAGGAGAGGTGGGCCGACGCCAACGAAATAACGAAACAATAACAAACGCGCCAAACTTTCTCTGAGCGAGAGAGACCAGGGCGACAGAGCGAGACGGCAAGCGAGAGAGAACGAACAGTTTGAACTTGAGAGGCACGCGCGCGTGAACAAATACATGTACAAACACAAGCAAAAAGCATGTCGGAATGATAACAGCAAAAGAGAGGGAACTACATTCTCTCCCATTCCTCCTCTCTCTATCTCGATCTCGTTGAAGGATTGTAAAAAAGCGAGATGGAAAGGGAGATAGACAGTGGGCAGATAAAAGATAGAAAAATCAACCTACGAGATAGCTCGCCCAAAAATAAAAGCCAAACCGAAAACCGAAGAAAAAGCAGCGAGACAAAATGAGAGCGAAAATGAAAACACACACAGAAATGGCAAAAAACGAAGAGGTAGCCCAAGTAGCGGAAGAATGTGGAACATACATTTTTGTCGTCAAGACGGTGGAAGAAAGAGAGGGCTTGAGAATTTGATGAGAATGGCCGGTTTGGGGGAATACCTTTGGGTGTGATTGTATGCGTGCGTACGACCGCCTGTCTGTATATCTTTTAATGTGTTTGTGTGTGTGTGTGTGAGTGCGCGTGAAGGTGCAGTTATTTATTTTGGCCCCATCTCGCTTTAGCCCATTGATTTTGCACTCTCTGACTTGCTTTCTCACTCGCCACTTGCCACACACCAGCAACTTGTTTCCATTTTCCACAATTATTATCATCTTAAGACCTCTATAAGTCGAGTTTCCACAATTCGAATTATATGCAAGGAGAAGAGTTAGAAAATGTTGAAATACACAAGATTTTCAGTTTTAACAAAGTTTGGATGAAGAGGGGTGTAGGCCTCAGATTAAAATTATCTAATAAAGTATAATATTCAAGTTTCTAATGTTGAAATATTTTAGAAATAAACGAAAAACCTTTGCTTAAAGTTAAAATATAGTGAATGTGGTTATTAAAAGGAGCTGTTCATTATCAGTTTGCGGTTTTGGTTACACAGTTTAAATTCCTTAAACTTTTTATGTATTTTCTTGCATTTAATAAAGTTTAAGCTTGTTTTTTTATCATGTATGATATATTTTCTCTTTCCCATACTAAAGATACAGTTTTTTTGGTGGAAAATTCGAGTTTTATGTAGATGATTCCAGTTTTTTTTTGGGGATTGTATAAAAGCCAACGCAACTCTGCAACGGAAGCCGCCAATGACGACTCCAAATGGCTAAAAAAAAAAAGGCTAAAAAACCAACGGGCCCAGTTAGTCAGTCACTCATTCTTCTTTTTTTCTCCTTGCTTCTTTCTCGTTTTCGCTTTTTGTTTCTTCTTCGGTGCCTCCAAGTTTTTCTTGTCTCTGCTGCAGCTCCTCTTCCGCTTCTCCTCCTCCTCACCCCTTCTTTTTTCCACCCTCTGCCGTTTTTTTTTCTGTGCTTTTGTTTTGAGTTGCGAGGCAGCGGAAGATTTTCGAGCTTCGCTTTGGTCGTTTTTATGCTTTGCTTGTTGTTTTTATTGTGTTTTTTTTCTGCTGCTGCTGCTGCCAAGTGCAATGAGGAATGTATCTTTACATGTGTCTGTGTGCGATTCGCAAGATTTCGCAACACTGGTAAATTAGTGGGAAACAATTCAAGATGATTATCGTTTTTGCATAGATGGAAATACACTTCGGGAAATTAGTTACTCTTAAAGTTTATTAAGTTGGATAAAAAAGTGATAGAAAGATCAAAACTTAAAATACAGAAAACCAGAAGATTAGATTATGAGATCCCAAAGTTTCCTTGTTTATCTCTTTAATATTTAGTACCCATTCACCAGATCGTGACCAATTCAGAAATTAGTAATCCAACCCAGCGTCATCGGTAGAATTTGCTTTAAATGCAAATATCGATAAATACTTGTTTCACTATCGAAATCTCAGTGAGTCAGAAGATGATGTAGGCTTTATTTTTATAGTGCAGATGTAAGACCTGCACTGTAAATTTCTCTGTTGCAAGTTATTGTGAAATAAAAGTAGTTAATCTAGTATTTCTATCTCTAGTATCTAAAATGCAATCGAATCATCGATTTAATAGGTCAATAAAATCTTTTTTAATTGCTTTTCTTATTGAAGGTAAAACACCTTTGCTTTCTAATGTTTTATATAGAAAATTGATATAGCATTTATAAACTTATAGGAAATACAAAATTAATTTATTAGTTTGTTTTCAAAATAACATTTGGAATTATTTATCACATCATTAATCAAATTTATTTCTTGTAGAAGAATTTTATATTAAGTGCATACCATTTTCATATTGTAAAGATTTATCTTAGCTGATGCTAGCAGAATATTTATCATAGGTGCTCCTAATAAAAGGAAAGATCAATTTGGTTGAAGTCTATTCAAAATATTCACCCCAACAGCTGTAAAAACAACTTTGGAATTAAGACTTAGCTTTATTCCGTACGTCATTTATAAAAAGAACTTTCGTCACGGCGGGGTAAACAAATGATACGAGGAGACCCTCCAGAGATAAAGACAGTGTAGTTCTAGTTATCAGTTGAGTGTATTACAGAACCTATTTGGCATTAGGTCTGGTTACCATTATTACTATTTACTATTTAATTATGCATTAATGACTAATTCTTCTTATGAACGATTTACAGACTGATTTATGTGGAATAAAATGGAAGAAGTTCGTTAACGGGGAGCGACCGAGTGCATCGAGCGATCCCTTGGCGGACCCGATCCTGCGCTCCTATTCGCGATGCATCCAGGCGGACATGCTGTGCGTGTGGAGGAGGGTCCAATCCACGAAGACGGACAACGCCGACCCGAATGCCTTAACCTTCGAGATTACCACCTCGACCAAGGTCCACCCGCCCCTTTCGCTGGCCGCCGCTAAGGAGCTATGGATCTTCTGGTACGGCGAGGAGCCCGATTTCACTGACCTGGTCGATGCCGAGCTGCTTCGAGTAGCTGGTAAGTTTTTATTCTTAGGAATAATTTAGTGCTTTGGGGTCTAAAATAGATCTAAATCGTTGGATTTGTAGAAACTTTGCTTAGTTACAAAAACAACGGAAAACCCTGTCAATTTCAGAATACAAATATGTATTTTACATACATAATTATCTAAAACATTAATTTGTATCTTAATATGAGCACTTGATAAGCAAAAACCAAAGATATAAGAGCACTTTTTGCTAGAAATCGATGAATAATGGGTTAAACAGTACTAAGTGTTACATTTAAGATCGATTGTAATATTTTCACACTCTCTCTTTCTCTCCCACAAACACACGCATACAATCACACATTCATTCTTACGCACACATGCAAGTGGGTGATGAATTTAATAAAGCTTCAAGGCCGCATCCATCGCATGCAATTGCAACAACAAATTTTCGCCATCTCTTTGACGTGCCATGTGCATGTATATATTTGTGTGGGTGTATCTGTGTGCGACAAGCCAAAACAAATGCGACACACAAACGAACAAACAAACAGAGAAACACGCGAAATACATTTCGATTGCGGCAGATGACGACGATTATTATTATTATTATGGCGCTCTCCTGCTGGCTCTCCTTGTTTTTCTCCATCCCCCGCTGCTTCGCACTCTTCTTCTCCTGCTCTCCTTTTCATTTTCCTTTGGCGTCACACAACTCACATGGCGTCGTTTCGAACCGTCAGCAACAGAAATCGTGGAGAAAATAAGAATAAAAAAAAAAAACACCAACAAACGTCAATCGTAGGCGGTTGTCTCCTTTCTCCCTCCCACCTAGACACACAGAAAGAAAAAAAGGAACTTGGTATTAAATCGATATACATATGTATGTGGAAACTTAAGCGTTTTTAAAGTTTTTGATCAAATTTATAAATATTTGTTACACATATGTTAATAAACTTAATAATTAATTTTTCATTCATAGATAAATATCATTTTTCTGTTTTGGTTTCAAAGTAACTTGTAAAACCATTAAAATATTTATCTTATCAACTTTTCTTTCTGTGCATCAAATAAGGAAAGAGGAAGCAGTACTAAAACGTCACCTGTCATTTGCAATGTTTTTCGCTAGCTCTTCTCTCTTGCTCTCCCTCGCTCTCTGGTAATTATGCAAACGAAGAAGAAGGGTGCTCTCACGTTCTCCCTACGTCTCTACCTCCCTCTCGTTTGCTCTTTCGAGGGTTGTTCAATACACACTGGCCTTCGAAAGAAGCTCTCGGTCGCTCGCTCTCTTTCGGTCACAACACCCTCCCGCCCTCTCTTTCACGACACCTATCTCCCGTTCTTTCTGCTCTTATCAGCCATTGCGTGTGGCTACTATTTATTCAATATTTTTGTTATTGCCTTATTATCTCTGACCACTAACTACGTACTACGTACTACATTGTTCATCGTAGAATTTGAATTTCGGTTTCGGCTATTCTGCGGCAAATTCCATTACCCAACAAACAACCACAGGTTGTTCGAGATTAGTAATGCCGTTATCTACTACAAAACCTTCTTTTATAACCCATTTCTCATACTTTTCTTTAATTAATAGAATTTTGAAAAATATTTTCTTATTACCTTAATCTCTAAAGATAAAAAATAATAAGAATATATTAAAACGTAGACAAAATTAACTGTCTAGACTTAAACATTTTTTAATTTGAGAGCTAATAATTCCTTCTCTTTAATTTTTTAAGTGGTTCTGATAGTTTTAATTAATTCTCACCAATTATTATTGCAATGAGCCAAAGGAATTAAAAGGCTTTTATATAAATTCAAACTAAACTTTCCTTCTCTTTAGATGCCGATTACCCTCTAACAAACGAAATGTTTTTCTTTTTGAAGTAGCGCGCCCGCCTGACTGATACGGAAGTTTGACTGTATCTTTCGTTATCTTGCCTACGTCATTGTGGCCCTCTGGTTTTACAGTTAGCTTGTGCTTTTGCTGCCTGTTTGCTGCGCGTTAACGTGTTTCTTCTTTAGGCGCGCACTGAAGTTGAGAGTTGAATGCACGTCGTTGCTTTTGCCGCTGATGAAATGATCGCCTTGTTTTTGTTTTAGCCTTTGTCATTGCAACGCCTTGTTTGTTGTTATTATTGCATTTGTTTTTAATTTTTAGTGACAAGGACATTGACTAATTGCATTGACATTACTTTGTCTCCGTCTTTTGGGCGAATTTTCATTTTCTTTTTATAGCCTTTTCGACCATAAGCAACAAAACGGGCAAAAATATACTGTCGTCGTCCCCCATCTTGTTGATGTTGGTGTGTGTGTGTGTGTGTGTGTGTGCGTGCGTGCGGGTGCGTGTGAATGAAATTCAGAAAGAGCAATAAGAGCGGCAAAGAGAGAACGCATTGTTGTTACTGTTACTGCTTCTCTGATTTTGCTGTTGGTGAAAACGGCAACGCCGCAAAATCACAGCCAACCAGCACCGTGGAACAAAAACTGCTTCCTTAGATACAAACAGTAAATTCTAACTAAATTAATATACTTTTATTACTTGTCAATATTAAATTAATTTTTTTCTTGAACTACCGCAAATAAATATGTTTTTACAAAACCGGAAATTGACTATGTTCGGAAATATACACCTTAAATAGCGTATATAACTATACATTTATTTGCCATTATACATAAGTCTTTATTTGGGAGTGACTAATGTACTTGGTAATCTCATATAGATTTCTCCTTTATGAGCAATGACTCCCACTGTAAACTAATTTACATTCTACTTTATAGGGCTTTGATCTTTTCTTCCTTTTTGCTGTTAGCATTTATTGGACACTTTTTTGGCCACTTTTTAGACAGCAGGCGTCATCGGCAGACACGCCTACACGCTGGAGAATTCTAGTAGACCCCCCCAATTTCCATATATATTCTGGCATTACTTTCCTCCCACTCTACACCCCCCTCTATTACTATAAAAAACACACGCTACTTGTTGTCATTGTACTTAAAATTTGTTGTTGTATTCCGATGCCATACGATTTTTACCTTAAACAGCTGTCACTTGGTGCGAATGTGTGTGTGAGTGTGTTGGGGTCATTGTGTGCGTGTGCTCCACAATTGAAGCCAATAATTACGTGCGGCTCTCTGCGAAAATGAGAGAGTCTCTCTTCTGCGATTCTTCGCTCTCAATGAGCTTTAAACTGGTTTGCAAGTTTGTGCTTAATTACAATGCGCTTTCTTGCTCATTTTGTTATTGTTTTTGTTGCATTTTGCATTCGTGTTTTTTACCTGCTTTTGGTTTTGGCTTTGTTATTGCGCTTACTAAACAAAATCTTCAATGTGTGTGCGCGCAGATTATTGACCTTGATTAAACATTTGTTGCTGCCTGTTCTGTGTGTTTTGTTTTTTTGTGTGTCACGCAAATGCAAAAATGCTTAATAACGCGCTCTCTTAATTGTTAAAATTCTTGTGAAATTCTCACGGTTTGTAAGAATGAGAGGGGAAGATCTGCTGCGATAGCAAAATGTTAACCTAAAATAGCATTGTTTTTGGGCCACAAACAAAAAGAGCAACGAAGAGAGTGTGCGTGTGTGGGTGAACGAGAACGACGAGTGCACGCCTAGCGGCACTTTGTCTCCCAAACAACCACTCTCTCTTACTCGCTACTTTCCACCTCTCTATATTTCCGAGCGAACAAAATCCAGAGAGAGAGAGGGAGAGGAGCAGCAACATGTGCACAAACCACACGTGCTAAAAAAAATACACCCACACAGGCAGGCCTATCTGTGTTTGTGGAATTTGCATTGAGCAGTCGCCGTCGATTCCGATTCCCCGATTCCCGATTCCGATTCACCCGATTACGATTCCTGTTTCCGAAGCTTTGGAGTTCGAAAAAAAAGAAGTAGGGATAAGATGCGGATATTTCAGCAGCTGTGTTGGTGGGAAAGACGAATGACCAGTATCGTTTACTATGTATTATTTTCAAGCTTCGAAACTTAACTATTTTCATGTGTGAATTAATTAGTAATTTCCTATTCTGGTGAAATATTTTAAAACACCCTTTTATTTTAAATTATCACCCTCTTAATGTAATTATGCGTGAACATTGTATAGTGTTTACTTTTACTGACTTTGTTCTTTGTTGCATTTTTGTTTGTTTGTTGTACCGTTTTGTTTCGTCTCATCTCTGGATTTTCTTTTGTTTGTTTGCGGAGAGAGCGCGGCTGAAGCTGCAGTTGTTGTTGCTTTTGTTTTTACTGGCCTACCCTTGCGGGCTTTTTATTTATTTTCTTTATTTTTGGCGAGCTTTGAACTTTTTGCCGATGGGTAGTGTGTCAATGTGTGTGTGTGTGTGTGTGACCTCAGAGAAGAAGAGAAACGAAGAAGAGCCGGCTTGCAGGATGGAAATTGGAATTGTGAGGATGAGAGATATGGAGATAGTGGGATAATAATAGTGGAGAAGCACGAGGAAGCGATATAGTAAGAGAGAGCAGGAGGCAGACTCTCTCACGCACGCACTCACACACACTGGCATAATCGTACATTGCCCTTTTATGTCCGTGTGTGTGCGTGTGAATTTTTAAGCGTCGTTGTAAAAAAAAACTCACGCTGATCTCATTGAAGAGAAATAAAATATGTACAAAAAAACAGTAGCCATAAAATAACACAAAAGTAGTTATTAGACCGCCTTCTAATACTTGCTTTTGTTTGTTATCCATCCATGTTGTTTATCTTTACGTAATTATCTTTGCAACATTGTTGACCAAAGACCAACAAGAAGAAGCATTACAAATCAGTGCGTGGGAATAGAAAAGAGCAAGAGAGAGAAAAGATATGTGTGTGCATGTGTGGGTGGTGGATGCTTGGAATTTTCCAAAAATTTCTAGACTGTCCTTTTTCTTTCACAAATCCTTTCCCTCCTCTCTTCTTCATCCCCTCTCTCTCTTTTCGTGCCTTCTTTTGTTTTCAAGTGTTTGTACTTCCGCTTTGGGTATTTTATTTTGTTGCTTGTCGGCTTTTTGTCTCTCCCCCTCGTTTTCTTTCCTTCTCACGTTGCATTTTTACATATTTCTCTCTGCACATATTTTTATCTTTATCCCTCGTTTTTACTTTTCATTAATCCCCCAGCTCTCCGGGACTCTTTCTGGTATTCTGACCATCTCTCTCTCTCTAAGTTTGTTTGTCAGTTTCCAAAAAACAACACAAATGCAAACACAAACGAAAACAAAACAATAACAAAAATGAATAGCCTTAAAAGATTTTTTTTTTTTTTTTTTGGTGAGGCGTGCGCGCGTCGTTGACTTCTCTTTTGCGGGAAAGAGAGAGTGGAAAAGTGCGGGGGAAAGAGATGGAGAAAGAGTGAGGTTGATTGTTTTGCGTTGTAGACGACGTCGTCGTCTTTTCTCATTGTTTTTCTTATTGTTGTTAATTATATTCCGTTTCTCCTCCACTTGTTTTTGTGTTTTTTGGGTATTTTCCACTTTTACATTTCAATTAAACCACGAAATCTATTTGGAATCTAAAGTGCCAGAAAATGACAAAATATTGAAATACAAAATGGTACTTGGAGATCCATTTAGATAGATCTATCTTAACTAGTGAACTTTTATTTTCACACGTGGGAATTAGGAATTTTTATTGCCATTTAGAGAATTTGTGACAAATATTTAGTAGTTATTATCTCTTTAATTAACCTTTTGATCTGGCAAATCTTATTACTATCTAATGAATTTACGGGGGCTTAGGTTCTTGGCACTTTCTCTTTTGAATGTACAATACAATGCAAATTTGAATGAATTTTTTTATCTAGTTAAAAGTTTTAAATATTATTCATAAAAAGTTATTATTAAAATGATATTCAAGCTCTTCAAACCACTTAAAAATCCAACTATTAGGATGAAGATAAATTAGTTTTGTAATTAATTATTAACATTAATAACTTATACTAATACATTTTAAATTGCTTTATTTTGTAGCCAACCAAGCGCTTTGGAATGGCACCTGGAAAGGAGCCCTCACCTACGAGTGCCGATCGCTGCTCTTCAAGGCGCTGCACAATCTCATGGAGAGGTAATATTACTTTAAATTTATAATTTTATAACAGTTAATAATAATTAACATTATATTTTAGATTCGTGCTCACCAAGGATATTGTGCGATTTGGCAAATGGTTTGTGCAGCCCTGCACCTCCAGCGATCGTCTCTTTGGACGCAGGTTTGTTATTTGAAATTAGAACATCTATAATCTATCTATAGGATAAAGGTGTCGATTCATGTGAAAATGCTGATAGTTAAATCCAATTCACACTATGGCCTTATCCTAGAATAATGAACAGGAACTCTGTGCAATGGCATCGAAGCCTGTGGCATTGCATCGTTCTTCCTGCAACATCAATAAACCATTTAGTTAGGTTTCCAAAGTATGAAATTGTCAGTAAAATGTTGTTATCAAATTCATTTTCATAGCCATAAAAGATCTATAAATGTTTATGATTGGTTGGTTTTTATGTTTATTGGTTAGTAATATCAGTAAAATGATAAATAATCGAATTTCGTTATAAATAAATGACAGTTGGCTGGTTTTTACTTAGATATCTTTTAGAAAATGGTTTATTCTATATAGTTCTGATCCAAAATAAAATAAAACTTACAAACTCCTATGGAAAAACCTTTGCTTATTCCCTGAATTTATTCTCCTCACAGCTCCCAGCACTTGTCCTTCTCATTCACGTTCTTCGTTCACGGCGATACCGTTTGCGCCTCCATAGATCTGCGAGAGCATCCCGCCGTACGGCCACTGACCAAGGAGCATTTGGCTGAGGCGGCTGCAGCTTTTGCGGCGGCAAGTTCGCCGCCAGGATCAGCAGGATCTGCGGCGTCAGCGGGTGGAGGAGCAGTGCCTAATCCTGGTCAAGATCCAAATGGCGCCGGCATGGAGCCATTGGATGGCGGCGAGGGAGCAGCCAAAGCAGCACCACCAGCGCATGCGCGCAAGGTGATGTTGGCCCCCTTTGGAATCGCGGCCATACTCACCGGTAATAGCTATAAGGCCAGCGATCCCAATGCCGAGAAGATCCTCGAGGATTGGGCCTCGTTTTTTCCGCTGTGCAATAAGGACAACACGGACGTGCCACCCGTGGTGGAAGTGGTGTCGGGTGAGTAACTATCTTTAAATAAAAATACTATCTTATGATCTAATATGTATCTAAATCTAATTTTAAAGGTGGTCATAAGATGTATCATCCCACGAACTACGTACTAGTCACAGACCTGGACGACATGGAACACATGGAGTTCGTCGAGATGCAGAAAATGCAAAGCTCGATGGGTGGAGCGCCAGCTGAGGCAGCTGTTATGGCATCGCTCTCCTGCCCGCCGAGTACAGCAGCTGGTCCCACTTCCCTCGGGGCAGCCCCTTCTGCCACAGCAATACCCGTGGGTCCAGCTTCCCTCAATGCTCCAGGAGGAGGAGGCGCACCAGGAGCCACAGCAACCTCCGCCGCCAAAGAGGTATCCCGCAAGGCAGCTACCCAAGCGGTTAGCGCAATGGAACGTATTGCCTTTCAGCCCTATTACGATCAACGGCCCACCTCGGGCTTCACCTTTAATACCAACAATACTCATATACCCGCCTCGGCTGCCGTGGAAATGCCGGAACGAACCTGGCAGGATTGCGTGATGAACACGCTTCATGTAGATGCAGCAGCAGCGGCGGCGGCAGCAGCAGCAGCAGCATCGTCATCATCATCATCTACACCCGCCTCGGGAGCTGCGACTTCGGGTGATAATGATGAGAATGAGCAGAATAAACCGCCACAGCAGGATTCCAAGCAAATGGTGCAGCAGCAGATACAACAGCAGCAGCAGCAGCAACGTCAGAAGCTCTGGAACTTTGTGGACCCCATGCAAAAGGCGCCCTGCATATGCACCAAGTGAGTCTCGTTCTTTTAATCTTCTTAAGAAACTGTAGAGAAGTCTTTCCCTGCTCTGTTATTTACTCTTTTTAAGAAAGGGTATATTTATGCAATCTCTAGAGGTTCTAAAATTGTAGTTTAAGTGTCTGAAATTATCTAAGAAAATTCCATTTCTTCTTGTTTGTTGTTATTTAAGTTTTCCAGGGAATAATAATTGCTTTTGATTTAGAATTTCTCTAGCGTAGTTCAAACTTATACATGATTTGCTTTCATTAGAATAATTTTAGACATTTAAAGTAACAATTTTTAAAGCCCCTAAAGAAAAACATTATAAGAACTTTCTAAACAAGAGCTTGCCAATCTAGAGATTTTTCTAATTTTTGTTTGACCCCAAAAACAAGATCTGTTTTGCTGCCTCTATTAGAATAACAATTTTTGATATTATGCATCTATAAGATTGATATGAAATCGATGTAGTGGAGATGTTGTGCTCCCTTCAAGAACCTAAAAAACAACCTAAAAACTCCCAGAAAAAAAAAACGAATCCCGCTTTGATGGCATGCCTTAAAAAGTACCTTTTACCTTAGCAAACAGTAGGCAGTTAAAGGCGGTAGTTGACCTTCTTTTTACTGTTATCTGTGCATGCGATAGGCCATAGATTTTTTCCGTTTCTCTTTTTTTTCTGTTTTTTTTTTTTGAGTTACCTAACACAGCAGCAAGAAAAAATTATAAATAACAAACTACTACAGCCAAGAGACAGAGCTACGAAAAGCGTTAAAAACTATGTTGCTAGTGTCTAAACCCAAAAAAAAAAACCAAAAACAAAACAAATTTCAGCGCCCAATGCAGCAGCAGCAGCAGTAGCAACATTGGCAGCAGCATCAGCAACAACAAGCGGCAGCAGCAACAGCCGCTGGGATCGCCGGCACTGCGAGCAGCAGTTACCGGTGCTAGTGGCAATAAGTCGTCATCGTTGTCATCGTCGTCGTCATCATCATCCTCGTCGTCGTCCTACCAGCAACATTACCACCAGCAGCAGCAGCAACAGCAGCAACATCTACAACAACAGCGACCGGGAACACCTGTGCCGCCGGCAATAGCAGCAGCGGCAGCAACATCGCATCATTCCAGTTCCCTGAGCAACACTTCCGCCTCCAATTCTTCCGCGACCGCCCTGCGGCGTCACAATGTGCCGTTCCACAAGCGGTTGCTCCATTCGCTGGCATCCAACGCCTCCTCCTCTATGGCCACCACCACCACCACTACCACCTTTAGAGCCAAAAACCACAGCAACACCACAACAGACACCAATATACCAAAACAAAGGTTTGTGTGTTGAGTGGAGTGAAGTGAAGTGGCGTCTGTTCATTATAGCCAGTGCTGCCTATGTTTTAGTTTAACGCTATTCAGTTTTCTACTTTTTTTTTCGTATATAATTGCGGTCAAGGTAATAGCACTTTTAAGAAGAGGATTAATGGTTTTTTTTGTTTATTTAAATTAACTTTTTATGGAATTTAATAGAAAGTTATTTGCTTATCATTCAAGCTTTTAAAAAGGTTTTTTAAAATATTAAAAATTTCTCTATAAGGTCAAAAAGTATTAATATTAATCATAATAAATCATAAATTTCTCACTTTTGCCTTTCCAAAATATTTTTATATCTTTTTGATAAGTGAAAGGTAGTGCTATTAATTTGACCGCTGCTGTATATACCACCCGTCCTCTTACTTTCGCTCTTTCTCCACATATATATATAAATATTTTTCTATCCACTCTCTTCACACGCTCTGTTAACCTTTTAATTTCTTATGATTTTTCTTATAATTTTGTTGGTTGGTTTTTGAGCATATAATTTCTGGCCCTAACAAAAAACTACACTGGAAACAAAAGAGGGGGCGTATTAAAATCATCAAGCCCCCAAAAAAAGAAACAAAGGAGTCAGCCAGCACACACACACACACACACACACAAACATACGCGCGTCGTCATCTTGCAATAACAATTTCTAATTCTAAATCACTTAATTAATTGTTCTTGGTAAATGGTTAATTAGCAACATTAAAAATATAAACAAAAACAATTGCAAAGCAACGCTAAAAGACTGCAATGACAATAATAATAATAACAAATTGTATAATATTTTCGATTTCGATTTCGAGGACATACAACACGTTTTTTTGTAGCATTTAACTAGCTTAGTATATATACTCTGCCCTTCCCACTCTCGTCCACCGCCCCCCATTGCCGTTCTCATTTTCTCATGGCCCGTTTTGCAAGTACTCGATACTCTGTAATATGAGTATATCCGTTGGATACTCTTTGGTTTTGGTGCCGCCGCATGCATCTTTGTTTTTTTTTTTTAATCTTCTAGGTTTTTTAATGCATTTTGTGGAATGATTTTGATTTCTTTTGCTGGTTTTCTTATTTGTAAATAACAAATAGCACATATATAATCTGGGTGTTTTTTAGATATCACTAAAGTTTATAAGGAAAATAATTTTGGTTAACAAACATTGGTTTTCCTTGTACAAACTTTAGCACTTTTTATTTTGCAGCTGTGAAGGTTTTGTTTTAAAATTGGATGTGGTTTTTCGTTTAATTTTGCTTAAGGTTATATTTGGGAGACTTCTTTTGCCGAAGTGTCCCTAACTATATAATAATATATTATTTATATGATTAATATACACGCATAACTGTGTATCCATATCTACATTATCCGTAGTTTGAGCATTGTACATAACCTTTCTAAACAACCAATGAGACACAACTTAATAATCTTAATTTTGATATTTTAACTATTTTGCTAATTATTATAACTTTTCCTTATCTTCTAACAGACATCTGGGGAACACACCTCATGGAACGCCACATGGTGGAGCCTCAACGTACTCCCGGAATTCCTTAGGTGGCGACTCCTCAATGCCAGTGGCATCCGTTGAATCACCGGCAACACCTGCACCCTCACCGCATCCAAATTCTGCGCATTCGCAACCAACATCCGTGCCGCCCGCTGAGCAAGTGAGTGCAAGTTACGACCCAAAAACGATTACGCAAATACCCAGTTAGCTTATTCCAACTAACACGTTGTTTATTTCTTCTGCCCCACGTTACAGCTACTCAACATGAGTCCACATGCGCCCACTTCCGTTTCCAATCTGCAACAGCCACCGACGCCCATCGACCACCTTTTAGACAAAAATACCCCAGCACCGACGCCAACGGATCAGCATGATAACAAAAGCATTACGGCCTCGCCTTATGTCCATCAAACGCCCAGCGTTGAGCCACCCTCTTATACAGATCATGCGGCCGGCGGTGGAACAGCAGGGGTTCAATCTCTGGGTACTGGTCCTGGTAGTGTGCCAGCCCAGCAACCTGCAACGCCAACAGCAGCAACATCAGCTGGAGGAGCGGGACCGGGAGGAGCATCGAACGTTGTCGGAGGAGCTGCGGTGGGCACAATTAGTGTCAAGAAGCTGGAGATGCAACAGCAGAATCCAACGGCAGCAATGGCCATCAAACAAGAGCCAGGTACTCAAGGTCGGAATGCATCGGGTGTCATGTCCACCGCGGAGGCCAGGAACAACTTAAGGCGATTGTACAACCCGCCAAAGCTCACGTTAAAGGACCCGGATAGCTTCTACGACGACGAGTGGCTGAAGGTCATCTATGATTTTCAGTACCAGGAAAACTGGTAAGTATTAAAGGATCTCTTGTAAAGAATCCTTATTTATGATTTTTATTATTTCAGGGACTATCTCACAGTGAAGCGTCCAAAACTGGATAAGCAACGGCGGCCGAGATATGCCAAAAACCTTTACGAGGGACACACGCACGTCAAGCCATTGATGCCATCGCCAGGATCCGTTTATGGCTCCCAGCTGCTTTCGTTAGATGTATCAGCGACATCAGCAGGCGTTGGAGGATCAGCGGCGGGCAGCTCTAGCGGTGGATTGGTGGGCATCGCCAACAGTACAGCCAATGGCAGTGATGCCGAGACGGAGACTGGCAGCAGCTTCTTCCAGGGATTGGACATTAAGACAGAGCCCGGTTTGCATTCCCCATCGTGCAAGGAGACCTCAAAATCCTCAGGCGGTGGCAACAGCAGTGGCGGAGGAAGTGGTAGTGGTGGTAATCTATTTACCGCTGAAGGTCTGAATCCCTCACTCAACGATCTGGAGCAGCTATTTGAGACAAGCTCGAACGATGAGTGCAGTAGCGTGCAAATCCACACGCCACCCGATTCCAATAATCCCTCGAATGGCGGTTGCAGTGCTGTTACCAATACCATCGAAGACCTCAAACGAAGCACGGCGGTGACCAGTGCAGCGGTTGTAGCAGCGGCGGCGGCAGCAGCGGCTTCGGGTGCGGGTAATATTCAGGCAGAGGATCTTACCAAGATGTTTCCCACACCGCCCTCTCACGAGCAACAGCATCCAAATTCAAGTCCTTGCCAAACGGACGTGGTCATGACGGATCTCAGTGTGGACACCACCACAACCAGTATAACCAGTAGTAGTATCACCACTACTTGCAGCAATACCACCATTACGAGTAGTATCAACACCACCACCACAGGCTGTAGTAACACCAACAGCAGTATTATCCTGGCAGCCGTTCAAGCTCCCGTCACCGTGGTGGCCATCCAGACAGTCTCCAAACTGGTGAAGCAGGAGTATAACTTGGAATTGGGTAGTCCGGTGGAGGAGCCCATTGATGATTGGAATTATGTCTACCGACCACCGCAGCAGGAGAAGTTTGTGGGTTCCACACGCTACGCTCCATTGACCAACCTGCCCAGCCAGACGCAACCGCCATTAACTTTGCCGCCAGGATGCTTTTATCAACCCACTTGGAGTAGTCCCAAATCCAGAGCAGCTACACTGGCAAAAGCAGCCGCAGCTCAACAGCAGCAGCATCAGAAGCATCAGGCCCTGCAGCAGCGCATCCAATTGCATCAGCAGAAGTTGCAGCAACTCCAGCACCAGCATCATCAGCAGCAACAAGCGGCGGCCGCAGCAGCAGCAGCAGCGGCAGCGGGAGGAGTTGGCCACCAAAAGCACCAGCATCAGCATCTACATGATCTATTGTCAGCGGCGCCAAGGACACCACTAACGCCGTCAACTGTCCCTCAACCATTAAGCAGTGGTGGAAGTCAACTGTTGCTGAATCAGTTAAACTGTCCGCAGGCGCCGCCCGGCAGCTCCATGCAGCAACTTATGCATCGCGCTGGGATGTCACCAATTTCTCCGGGACCCGGTATGGGTCCTTATGCCGCCAGGAGTAGTCCGATGTCGAGGGCGACTCCAACGCATCCGCCACCGCCATATCCATATGACTTGGCTGTGGCCAGTCCAGCCACCTCGACATCTTCATACTTAAACCGGCCACTCCATTCGCAGGAGCATCCGCACATGCATGGTATGGGCGGCGGAGGACCAGGAGGCTTAGGTCCTGGAACAGGACCTGGCGGACACATGAGTATGATGCCCTACACTGGCGATGCGGGCATTGCCAGTGGTGGAACAGCAATGACAGCTGGACCCTCGAGTCTGCTCCAGGAACTACCAGAAGTTAACTCTGTGCTGGTGAACATTCTGCTGTACGATACCGCCTTGAATGTCTTCCGGGATCACAACTTCGATAGTAGCAGTGTGTGTGTGTGCAATGCGGATACTCAAAAGATTGGCAATATTCGAGGAGCGGATTCTGGAGTGTATGTACCTCTGCCTGGCGTGAGCTTCAATCCATTTCCGACTGGTGGAGGTGGAGCTGGAGGAGCTGCGTCTGGACAAAGAATGCTCAATGGACCAAGCTCTGGTGGCTTTGGCGGCATGCGGATGATCAGTGCCTTTGGGGGTTCGCCGGCCTCCGCCTCGATGCCCGGAGCTGGCTCCGGTCATGGTCACGGCCCGAACGGCGGCTCCAACTCATCATCCTGCACACCGCCCAGCAGTAATCCGCACATCACCGGCTATGTGGACGATGATCCTGTGGAGTGTACATGTGGTTTTAGCGCAGTGGTTAATCGAAGACTCTCCCATCGTGCTGGACTTTTCTACGAAGATGAGGTGGAGATCACAGGCATTGCGGATGATCCGGGCAGGAATAAGCAGCCGACGTTGCTAAGTATCATTCAGAGTTTAAGCAGAAAGAACCAGATAAAGCAGGCGCCCGGAGAATCCAGTTCTGCCTTGGAGAAACTCGGAGCAGGAGCCGCGGCTGGTGCACAACTCGAGCACTTGGCTCATGCTGTTTTTGATCTGCTGTTAGATCAGTGTTCTATCATCCAGACCTCCAGTAGTTCCGTTCATCGAGCCCTTCAGTCCCATCGAAGGCGAATGTCACGCCAGCGAAGGATCTTTGGCACCAATGGAGCATCAACTGCCTCGTTGGCGTCGATTGCCAATGTTTTAGAGTTCATGGATGCGCACGACGTGATCAGCTTGGCCTTGGAGCAGGCGAGACTGGCTTTCGAGAACCAGCGGATGGACAACATCATGGACTTTCATGGGAATGGAAGTAGTAGCTCCCATCAACAGCAACAACTTACAGCCTTTCATGCACCACCACCTGCCTTGCGTCTTAAGCTGGCGGGGATTGGCGCTGGTCGGTTGACAGTCCACAAGTGGCCATATCTGCCCGTTGGCTTTACCCGGAGCAACAAGGAGATTGTGCGTACGATGAATGCTATACAGCCGATGCTGCAGAATGCTTTCCACTGCAAGTCACGAGGTGGCTCTGGATCTAAAGATGCGAGTTCATATAATACTGTAAGTGGACCACTCACCTGGCGGCAGTTCCATCGCCTGGCAGGTCGTGCATCTGGACAATGTGAACCGCAGCCAATACCATCCGTGGTGGTTGGATACGAAAAAGATTGGATCTCTGTGGCACCGCATTCCATCCACTACTGGGATAAGTTTCTCCTTGAACCGTATTCCTATGCGAGGGATGTGGTCTACTTGGTGGTGTGTCCGGACAACGAGCATGTGACCGCATGCACTCGCAGCTATTTCCGTGAGCTAAGCAGCACCTACGAGATGTGCAAGTTAGGCAAACATACGCCTATTCGAGGATGGGATGGTATCCTACAGGTTGGAGCAGCTCGCAATAATGGGTCCGCTGATAGGGAAACCACTCCATTGGATGATTGGCTGCGTACCCTGGAGCACGCAGCTCTGGCGGAACAAATTCGTCGATATGCAGTAGCTTTTATTCACCAGTTGGCTCCATATCTGAGTCGAGTGCCTAACGATAAAACTTTGCTGAATCCACCGGATGGCACTGGTAACTCTAACTCCAAGGGTGGCAGCTCTTCCTCGTCGAACAGCTCTTCAGTCACTGGATTGCCTGGCGGGGATTTACCCACGGATAATATCAAGCTGGAGCCGGGTACAGAACCACCAGTTCAACCAATGGAAGCCAATGAAATTAAACAGGAACCAGGCGTGGGAAAAGGAACCTCTGCAGCAGGTGATACGAAACCCGCACTGATCCTGGGAGATCCATTGGGCATGGGCGAGACTTTGGAGGATATTAACCCCTCAGCTATTGTCCTGTATGTGGTCAATCCGTTCACCTTCGCCTCGGACAGTTGCGAACTGGAACGCCTTGCTTTGATTGCCCTGCTTCGTTGCTATGCGGAACTTCTGAAAGCTGTCCCGGATTCGGTGCGATCCCAGATGAACATACAGATCATATCACTGGAATCGGTAATGGAACTGGGACCCTGTGGCAATCGAAAGCGATTCTCGGACGAGATTAGATGCCTGGCCTTGAACATATTCTCGCAGTGCCGGCGACATTTGGTCCATGCCCAATCCGTAAAGAGTCTAACGGGCTTTGGAACGGCGGCCAATATGGAGGCCTTCCTCAAGACAAAGGACGAACCCAATCGGCGAGCTTACAAGATGTACACGGCTCCCTTTGTACTGGCACCGATGCACGAGAGAAATGATAAAACTGACTTCGCCAGATCGGCGGGCAGCATGCATGGCCAGAATGAACATCGTTATTCGGTGATGTATTGCAATTACTGTTTGAGCGAGGATCAGGCTTGGCTTTTGGCCACTGCCACCGATGAACGGGGCGAGTTGCTAGAGAAGATCTGCATTAATATCGATGTACCGAATCGTGCGCGAAGGAGAAAAGCTCCAGCTCGTTATGTGGCACTGAAAAAACTAATGGACTTCATTATGGGAATTATATCGCAGACTTCGCAGATGTGGCGTTTGGTTATTGGTCGCATTGGAAGGATTGGACACAGCGAACTGAAGTCATGGAGTTATTTGCTAAGCAAGCAACAGCTCCAGAAGGCCTCCAAGCAGTTCAAGGATATGTGTGAGCAATGTACATTGATGTATCCACCCACCATCTTGAGTGCCTGCTTGGTGACTCTGGAACCCGATGCCAAGCTGCGCGTTATGCCCGATCAATTTACGCCGGATGAGCGCTTCTCTCAGATCTCCATGCAAAATCCATTGGCAACGCCGCAGGACGTGACCTGCACCCACATCCTAGTCTTTCCCACCAGCGCCGTCTGTGCGGTAAGTTTATATTACTAAATTATTTGGATTGATTAAATTTATTTACATTTTCTCGTTTTCAGCCTTTTACCCGTCAATTCCAAAACGAGCCGCAAGTAGAGGATGACTTTATGACCTTCGAGGAGGAGGGCAATGAGGACTTTAGCGATGCAGACATTGGCGATTTCCTTTGGGACTGTAAGTGCTTGTGGTGGATAGCGTTTGGCATCAGTTACTAAGGGTTCCTTCTTCTTTAAAGCAGCTCACATAGACAGAGTTTCCAATCATGGTAGCCCAGGACGCATGGATGACAACCGCAGCTGGCAGAGCGCCGGTGGCAATAACTTTAAATGCACGCCGCCCCAGGAAGTAGAAGAGGTTGGCGATTTCTTATTAAAAAAACACTTAAAACAGTTACTAATCTTGCTAAACATTTTAGGTGGGATCTCTTAACCAGCAGCCGATATCAGTGGGCTATATGGTGTCGACGGCACCAACGGGTAGAATGCCCGCTTGGTTCTGGTCCGCCTGTCCGCATCTGGAGGATGTGTGCCCCGTGTTCCTGAAGACTGCCTTACATCTGCATGTACCCAGCATACAGTCTGCCGATGATATTCTCAACTCGACCAATGCTCATCAGTCAGCCAACGATCATCCATTGGATTCCATTCTCACAGCGGATGTACTTCGCTTCGTCCTCGAGGGATACAATGCCCTGTCATGGCTTGCGCTCGACTCCAATACACACGATCGTCTATCCTGTCTACCCATCAATGTTCAGACACTGATGGATCTGTACTATCTGACGGCTGCCATAGCCTAAGTTCGGGGATCTTAGATCTCAGATTTCAGATCTCAGATCCTTGGATCACTTCAAAACTGAATCAATCAAATGCAGTCGCATGCTTCCGTTTGCAGAACTTCCACTAGCTATATCAACCTCAAAGAACACCAGAAGTCTATAGAACCCAAAACGATCTAGAACAGGAGATCAACACCAAGCTAACATCAATCGAAGTTAACAGAACCCAAAAAACACCAACAGAACATAAACAACAAAAACAACAACAACAACAACAACAACAACAACTAAAACAAGAGCAATAGCATCAGTTAACGCAACGCACAGATTACTTAGCATAATCAAGAAGAAAACATTAGGAGAAAAACATATAGAAGATCATCGATGAGAGCGGCGGATATATAACATTATCGTCTACCGATAAGTCTTGAACAGCAACAGCATTACTATTTATTAATCGTCGAGAATTTGTAAAAGTGTCAAGTGCAAGAATTGTTTGTTTAATTTTATTTTTTTTATAAATATACATAGGCTGGCGTTCGATTAGTGTTTAATATTTATAAATATACAAGAAAAGCGAAGAGGAGCGAATGAGAAAAAATAGCGAAAAGCAAACAACAACAACAACAAACAACCAACAACCACACACATGTAGGCATATAGTTCATATATACAAAAGCAGAAGTGGAGTTAAAAGCGAGTATCATACTTAGGTTAAGTAACAAAGTTTGTACATATTTACAACCAATTCGCAGTAAGCAGCAGCAGCAACAACAACAACAACAAAGTAAAACAAAAGTGTAATTATACAATTAGTAATTAGTTTACAACAAATTGAAGGAGATGAGGATGATGAATAGTATGGAAGGAGACCCTATTTAAATCTAATAAATTAAATCAATAAATTGTGTAAATTTTTGTGCAAAGCGAGAATTAGTTTAAATTTAAATTATACAAGAAGAAAGTGTAAAAAAACACACGCATTAAACAACACCCACACGATGGAAACAAACAAAACATATAATTAACTGAAACGGTATACTGTAAATTGCATATATAAAAACTATATATATCTGGACGCCAAGCGCAGATGATGATGAAGGAGACGAAAAGTAGGAGTAGAAGTATAAGAGGAGGACGAGAGGATAGTGGATTAGAGTTAGGATGAGCGTTAGGAAGAGCTTTTAATTTTGTGTGTTTTATGTTGTCTCTTGTATTCGTATAATCCTAGGGAAACATTTGTACTTCACACACTCACACACACACACACAGATACTGAACATACACACACACACACACAACCCACAAACAACCACTCACATAGCCAATTTTCTAATAATGAAATACTTAAACGAAAATGTGTACAAATTAATAATAATGCTTGTAAAGAACGGGAAAGCTTTCTACACTCACCAACACAACACAACAAAAACACAATTGATTTTGCACGTTGAAACGATTTTCGATAGGCTTAAGTTTAAAACAAAATCGATTAAGTAAAAAGATAAAAAAAAACCATTATTAAACAATGAAATTATTTTTACCTGTGTATTTTAATTAGCATAAATTGTGTAAACAACAACAAAAACAACAAAACCTACGATTACAAAGACGTTTTCTAGTAATTATTCAACACATAGAAACACACAACAACTCCCCCTTCCCCCAACACACACACACATGCATATCTTTTAAGTAGTTTCGATTTCATTTTAGTATTCTATTTTTTGTGTAATAAACCGAACTTATTTGCAAACCTTTGATTTTTCATTATTTCATTTTCATAAATTTATGTATTCTTAGAATCCTATCGCTCAGATATCCCCGTTTATATCCATCCCTTAGATCATCCATATCTATATATCACGCAAGTGCACACGCTGTATATAAGGAACCGCTTACAATCATTCTTTAAGAGATCGATCGATAGATATTATCGTGCTTGCCGAGTTTTTCCTAGCTAAGGTTTCAGTTGCCACTCTACACACACACTCTCTCTCTCATTCATTTCCCGGGAAATTGAAAAGCCCCCCGGGCGCCAATAAAAAGCAAATAATTATAGCAATAATTAAGTGTAAAGCACAACAAAATGTTTAATGATTAAAAAATAAAAAAAACCAAACTTGAAAAATTTACCGCAACAATTGACAACAAGCATTCATAGCAAAAAACAAGAAAAAAAAACAAAAAATTGAAAAAATATATATTATGGATTAAAAACCAAAATGGGAACAGTTTTTTAATAAGCAAAACTCAGTTTACGAGTTGAAAATTTTCTAAATAACGATTAGCTTAAACTAAGAAGAACAAAAAACCAACCACAATTCACTTTGAAAATGGAGTTAAGGAAATGCGAGCGACTACAAGTTATACACACGTTCATTGTAAAGTTAATTAAGGGCAAGTTCAAGGCTTGAGAACTAATTAAAGTTTAAATTAAAACAAACAAACAAAACAAGAAAAAAAAAACCGAAAAAACCACAAAAAGCAAAGGAAAATACAAACAAAAAAGTGCATTAAGCGTTGACGAGGAAAACCATTTACTAGCCTAGCCTAAAAGTATGCAATTATTAAGTTAAATTAGTTTCGAGGGCATTCACACAACAAAAATGGAAAAACAAGAAATCCAGAAAATCGAAGGACGAGGAGCAATTTGAAATGGGGACAGACATTTGTTTATAAAACAAATGAGCGCATGTTATAGACGCCATAAACACTATATATACATTAATATATATATCGAGATTGGGTACGAGAGAACTTGAATGTCAAAATCTAGCTACAGAATTGCATATTATATATATATTATATACATTAAATATTATATAATGGGCAAAAACAAAATGTTGTTGTAGTAAAATTACAATTAAGTTTTGTTTTGCTACCAAGTCAGAAACGAAACAAGAGCAAAAATCGATGAGCAAATAGCAAAGGTCAAAAAAATGGGTCAAATTTTAAATGTGCAAAGCAAACACGACAAAAAAAGAAAAGATAATGAATAAAGAACAAAAAACACAAAAAGAAATGATGATGATGAACAAATGAACAAAAACGAAATGCAATTTTTTGTAATTTCTTTACAGATTATAGATTTGTTTGGCAAGCAGGCGATAACAAATACAAACTAAAAAAACCATTTTTCAAATAAAACTAACATCAAATTTAAAACTTAATGTTGTTTTCTTAGGAATACTGTACTGGTCATATTAATACTAATATCTTGGTTTTAGAAGGCTTTACGTATCGGGCGTCCAATGATCTCATAATATTCGTGCAACATCTTGGTGAACTCCTGGCCTCCGGCATGACAGCAACTGCCCCAGCCAGTCATTAAAAGTTCCATTTCATAGGTGCTGGTGATGTTCTCCAAGGCATCTGTAAAGCAAATTTGGAAGAAATATTATTGATTTTGTATAACCGCTGACCCAATTCTCTACTCACTCACTACCGTCTCCTTGACTTCCCACTCGACATCGTAGCGCCGGCTGAGGAACTGCAGCACTGCCAAAAGCTTGGAGCTGGGCAAATTGAGTGAGATCCTGTGCTGTGCCACTATATCATCATCCATCCAGAGGGTCAAACGACTAAGCATTCGGGCAGTGTTGTCCCTAATCTGGGTTAGTTTTGCCAAGGTTTGGTTCATCGTGGCCAGAGGACGCTGAAGGCGAAGATACAAATTGTTGATCCGTTTCTCCGTGATCTTAAGCTCGCGCCTGGACACCGCATTGTTCAGTAGATCCTCAGTCTCAAATAATTTGAGGTTTAGGTTCTTGATCTGCCTCATGGCCACCACGCCGTTTTGGATTGCTGTTTGCCAATGCTCTACATCCTTCCACACTTGCTCGGACATGGAAAACATCTCCATTATGGCTTTTGATAGATTCATTTTTGAAACAAAATTTAATATTAATCAAATTAAAAATGAATAAATTATGGAAATTAAAAATTAAAAATGAGAAATAGTCATCGATATTAAGGCGCTCTATTTTGCTTCGATACCAGGAAGCTCCAGGGCTAACTTAGCAACGTTAGTGTGATTCTTTCAGGGCTGCTATTTCGTAAATGAGTTAATTTGCAGGGTTGCATTTGATAACTAAGCATAATTAAGCTTATAAGATAGGTTAGAAAATCTTTTTTAAATGTGTTACACGATAAAATGTTTTACTTTTTTAAAAATCTATTTTTTAAAACTATAACCATACATTTTTGTTTACATTTTTTCTTAAATTCTCCTTTGGCATTACCTGCCTCCTTTTATTTTTCTCCTTTTACCATTGCATTGCGTGCTAAATTGATCAAGTGGCCACGATTAAGCAGCCAACTAACTTTAGGCGCATTAATTGCGATCATGTTGGCCCCCTACCGCTACTACACCGCCCCCTCTTTTCCACTATTTACAATTAGCTGCGTGACGAAGGCGCTGGAAAAAACTAGGAAACAATTTTCACTTGGATTATTTTTGGTTGGGGATTGGGATCTGGGATCTGGGATCTGGAGATGAAGCTGAAGTTGGGAGTCTGGAGAATGGAGAATGGAGCTGGTGCTGTCAGGCGGCATGAATTACTGTGCGTTGATTGCCTTTAAGGCCTGATTGCAACAGCAACAACAACTTTGGCACAAATTGCTGGCTGCTGTTCTTTACATTTTTTTTTTTTTGTAAAGCGGCATGCGGCATGCGGCAAACGGGTTTTCGGGAGGTTTGTCCCCCAGTTTTTCTTTTTTGCTTCACCCCCCAAACCGACTGCATTAATTATCAACAAATCATTTTTGCAGCACCGAAAGCCACATTTATCAGCGATTATGCATGGACAAAGGAGTCGGGCTCATTGGACAGCAGACTGAGGAGATGGGATGCTCCACAACTGGCGGCTTGCAAGTGTCGCCCGACATGTGTTGCTGCCTCTTGTCGATGTGGATGCCATGTGGATCGAGATGGCGATCTTGACGTAGAGCCGCACAAATTTGTCAGAAAGGAGGTGAGTTCACTTAGAGAAAAATTATGGCTAATTTATCTTTATAATAAGATATATATTTCTATTTTTTACTTTAATACATTTCGACTCTTATTGATATTTCGAATAAGTTATGGACTTAGAAAACTTATCATAGTTAAGACTATCGTTCCTTATACTTGATATGCAGTTCTGATATAAATTTAACAATTTCCTCGATATTTTTCTCAGTATCTTTGGAGGGCCCTGAAGCTCAGGGCGTCGGCGACATGACATGGCATTGATAAGCGCAAAAAAATCGAATCGAATCGCCGCCGTCTCAGACTCGCAATTAAGATATTTTTATGTAAATTAATGGAAGCTCTGAAAAGGAGAAGAGAGGCTTCTTCGTGGAATGGGATGCGGAGACGGGAGAAGGCATTCTGGAGAAGCTGGAGCATGCGTGCAACTTACAAATAAGTACAATGTCCCATCGATTGGTTAGCTCCAATTGCGCATTTTTAATTGGAAAGCTTGGAAAGATGGAACCAAAAAGCCAGCCAACTGGGCAAGCAAGCAAACAAACAAAAAGTGACGCACCGAAAATTTATTGTTCCAAGGCAATCCAAAGGGGATCCAAGGCGATCCCTTTTCCGATTCGATCCGAGGAGCAGCCGCATATCGAATGGCGAGTGCAAACAGCAAAAAGGCCGCAGGCCGCAGGCCATGAAACAAACAAGAAGATTCACCGGCATTGTTCCAGCATCTTGGGCCCACGTTCTTTATATGCTCCTCGGAGCTCTCTTACTTAGGCATTTATGTCTGGCACTTGACACATTTTGTTATGGCATTTTCAGCTACCGCCGCGCGCACGGACTCCTTCGACTCCGCTTTGACCCAATCAAAATTCCTGGATCTTGCACTTGAATGCGTTTAATTTGTAAGATTTGCTTTGGGTCGACCGTTGGCCAAGTGTTGAACTTTATGTTCTCTGATGTTCTGGGCAGAACATTAACCTCCAAGCTCTGGGATACGGTTAACAGGAAGTTTTTATTTTAAATTGTTGTAAGCTTGTTAAGAAATTCTTTAAAAAACCATGACCTGGGATGATATTGACTATCTTTTAACATCTTAAACTAAAAGAGGTAAATATATAACTTGTAACTATAAATAAATTTCCTTTTCTTATTTAAAAATCTTGTATAATAAAACCCATTAACTTGGCCATAAGCACTGCTTTTAATGACCAAAAGTGAATATCATTTTAATACCCGGAGAATGTTATAAGGTGCTGCTCCAGGAAATACTACATGTGATCAGTGAAACCATTTTGCGATTTCCTCTGAAGATCATTTGGATGTTGTTTTCATCCATTTTCCATTACCTGGTTTCGCATTTCCGATGCACGTTGTCCGGTCTCTTCTGGCAACGCTTCTTGCAACCTGCAAAACCCAAAGAGCAGCCCATCATTTCTGCATTATTAATTCCTTTTCTAGCGTAAGCCAACTTATTTGCCTGCTTATCTACGCCAACATCCTTTTGGTCTGTGCGCACTTAATGGGGATCCGCGTCCAACTATCTGGAGAGTGTAGGGTGGTCAGTTCAGGTTCTAGATTTGAGATGCAACACTGAAAGAAAACTATACCTCTTTACTCCCTCCCCATTCCAAAATTCTAAAAGTAAATCTCATGTATGAAACATTTTTAAACTTTTCGTAAGTTTTTCTCCCTCTGTAAGCACCAATGCAGCTGCAAATGTGCAACAACTGGCCAGTTGAGATTGTTGTTGCCGGTAGCGTTTTCCGATCGCCGGACAAGCAAAACGAGAGCAGAACGAGTCTAGTCTGCGGGCGGGGGGACAAGTTGATTTATTCTAATCTGTATAAGCGTTGCTATAATAAAGCAAAAAGGCCCACAGAGAGAGAGTGGACAATGCTTGCCAGCGGCTTTCGGCCATGTCCGATGCTAAGGCCAAATTGCCGATCGAACGAGGGAGAGACGTAAAACTGGGATTCAGGTTCAGAGCTGGGCTTTAAGGCTCCAACAAACCCTAACTCATTGTGTGTGTGTGCCTGCTGATTCTGCATTGTAATTGGATTTGAGCCGCCGGTGCAGTCGCAGCTGCAGATTCTAATAATGACTCAGCACACAGAATGGTCTAAAAAGGAATATTGTGGGTATCCTGTCCCCATTGTTCTTGATTTTGGCCCCCAGGTCTCCGGCTAAAGCCTTTCACTGGGACTAATGCACTACCCAACCATTGAAATGAAGATGCATGCGCTAATTTATCGACTCCCGACGCGAAGGAAGGTAGCTCCAGACATGCAAAATGTCGCCGGCCAAGAATGTTATCTACGCCCAGTGTCTCGAAAAGTGTCGCTCCAAAGACAAGGCATAGTGGATGGTCGTTGGAGCTGGAGCTGGTGGAGATGTGTAGAATGGAGTACGCAGGCGATGATAGCTGGTAAGAGCTTAGCAGAGGCCATGGCAAAAGCAGAGGCGTCAATGGGTTCGAGTGGTAGCAGCCGCCAGCAACACCCACTTCGATGCGATGTTCTTATCGCTGGTATACTCTTTCTTAAGAGAGAGGTAACTTAACTTTGCTAAGGAACTTGTCAGGAAAAGAAAATTCCATTGGAAAGCAAATATTCTCAAGCAGCTTGGGGTTTTTGTAACTTTTTTAAAAGGGTTTTTTAGTCCTATTTTAAGATCTAAATACTTCTACTACTACTTCTAGTATATCCTACAGATTCCCTTTCCCAATTAAAGTGCATTCAAGATTCATCTGATCAATTCCTTAGATTCGTCTCATTGTTTTCCCTGTCCTCGCATTGCGTTTTATTCAAATTTGAACATGGTGCTAACACGCAAGGAGCAGCCAAGTGGGTGGATTGCCATAAGGATGAGCTGGAGGATTTGTGAGGTGCGGGTGTCGGTGGGCGGTGGCCAAATCACGTAATGCGCCATGCAAACATTGTTAAAACACTTGTGGCCCGAACTCCACAGCCACTTCACGCCACTACACTCCATGCCACGCTCTCTCTCTTGCCACTTCACTTGATTTTATTTTCGCGCAAATTTGCATTTTCAATTCTTATTCGCTATCGCAAACGTCCTCTTGGAAAAAGACGGAAAAAAGCATATATATATATATATATAAGGAACAGGATGGGGTAGAACAGCAGCGGTGAGAGGACTTTGCGTTTATTTAAATTTATTTTCCTAGAATGCCACAAGTCGCCATCTCAGTCGCATCGATGTGCAATTTGTTTGTCGCCCCGTTGAAGAGACTCCGAAAACTTCCATCCGCTCCCTGCCAGCCAGCCAGTCTGACTTCTGTGGGTCTCTTGTCTATATGTCTGCAGATCCGAGACTTGCAGTCCTGCCAGAGTAGCCTCTGCCCCATAGCCATGCCATCCAACTGCGTCTGCGTATGAAAATTAATTGTTGCCACTCGTGACGACGTCGACATCAGCAAAAGCAGAGGCAGTGCCACAAAACTTGTAAAAACTCAAAAAAGTATTTTCCTTTTAAATATTTTAATCATTTTTAAGTTTAAAATTACCTAGAAAAATAGGAGGAAAAAGTACAAAAGCTTACTTTTAATCAAAAATAAATTCCAATTTTTCTTTCAGTGCTAAATACCAACAGCAATATGAACAGCAGCAGCAGCATCAACATTGCAAATCGCAAACTGCAAGCTGCAAGTGGGCGGCAATGGGGCGCATATCGTTTAGATTTATGGACCGCTCTCGTCGGGCGGCGTGTCGCGTGATAAGTCTATAAAATGTACGTTACATTTGTACGTGCAAATGGCAGTGGGACGATTTGCATATTTACGAAAGTTTTTCACCCATGGCAGGCATATCGGTGTAGGACTTTCATTATGCCATCGCCGCTCTGCCAAGAAAACTGCATTAAAGTCACTTCTGTTGGTGAAAGGTGGTTGCTGGTTTCCACCAGTTCCCCAGTTCATCTGGACAAGGTGGGGACACTTCCCTGGTGGTGGACGTGTGGGCTGTCCCAGCAGCACCTTAACTGTGTTAATTGTATTTCATATTACCAGGTCCCTGGTGAAAGGTTGGAAAGTTTTCTGTCACTGCCACAGGGCACAACACTTATGACAGATTGAAAGGAGTTTTTTTTTTTTTTGATTTATGAGATAAAAATGCAATTATTGATTGATTTCACTTTCTTAAACGCAAACTCCTTCTTTAAGATTTAAAATTATATTTGCTTACTTATTGACATTTTCTAGATTAAATCTCAAAAGTTGAACAACTAATTCCCTTGCCATCGCTAAAGCTACAAAGCACTGCAAAGCCTCGACTTCCCATTCCCAGATGTTGGCCATCCGAGAGGTGGAAGTGCATAATCTGTGCACAAATCTATTCAACAGATTGTCAGAGTCCCCATGCCCCTTTGTTTCCACTCTCGGTGGAACCACCATTCCCCGGGCCTTTAACTTCATTGTTCAGTTCTTTTGGTTTCTCAAGCGCAGCGCTTTGTTCAATCAATTTTTGCTTGATTTACAATTTCAAGTTGATGACATTTCACCAGCAGGACGGAGCAGCACAAGGAGCAGTATCACTCCGGGTTTGTC